AAGAAAGGAGGTTAGCAGTCTCCAAGTAGACAAGAACCAAGCATCATTGGAATTCTTTTTCAGGTTTTTGAGAGACAATACTCTAAACCTAATCATATTACAAATATTCAAAGCAACCACTTCTTTAGGGACCTTCTCTTTGGTAAAAACTCTATTGTTCCTCTCAAGCCAAATAAGGTAAACAGAACATGTTAATGACAGCCTAGAGATAATAGAACTCAAAGACTTACCCCTAACAGATTTAGCAATATGGGCCACCAGCATAGGCCAAGCCACATTGATTTTTGTTTTAATATACAACCAAACTTTCTCAGAGAAAGGACAGTTAAAAAACAAGTGGGAATGATCCTCTGAGTGATGATAACATAAAGGACAAGTGGAAAAAGGAGCAAAGCCAAAAAAGTTTCAGTCTACCTCTAGTATTCAATCTATTTTGAATAGCTAACCAAGTAATAAAACTAACTTTTGGAATAGTGACAGCACTCCATAACAAATCAGACCAATAGACCTTATCAAAAGAAATTCTCTAAGCATTCCAAGCAGATTTTATAGAGAATAAACCATTAGGAGAAGGAGTCCAAATAAGCTTATCAAGGCCAGTCTTAGGAAGGAAAGAAATGGACTGGATCAAATTATAAATATCGACAGTGAAGGAAGAAGGCCATCTCCAAGACATGTTAGAGACAATTTTACTCACTCTAGACTCCCCATTTAAGGCAGTGTTATCCATGATTCTCTCCCCAAACTTTGCCCATAAGGATCCAAGGGGATGTCAATTATCAAACCAGAGAAATATACTTGTACCATCCCCAACAAGATACTTCATGTAACGATAAATAATAGGTTTGAGACCCAAAAATTTCCTCTAAACCCAGGATGAATCAGATGGGATTTTGACCTTCCAAAAGCTTCTACCCTTTAAAAGGTAAGATTTGACCCATTGACACCATATAGCCTCCTTACCCCCCAAAAAACAAGAACCAAATATGTTTAGCAATAGCAGCTTTACTCCAAACCTCTATAGATTTAAGGCCCAGACTACCCTCCTTCTTAGGGGAACAAATTTTCTCCCAATAGACCTTAGCCCCTGCTTCTTGAGCTCACTACTAGACCAAAGAAAAGACCTAAACAGGCTTTTAATCTCTTTCACAACAATTTCGGGAAGAATAAAGATAGAAGACCCATAAACATGCATTGAAAAAATAATAGACTGGATCAACTGTAACCTCCCAGCATAAGATAGACATTTGTTAGTCCAATTCTTAATTCTCTTGGTAGTTCTCTCAACAAGCTGCTGACAATCAACAACCCTAAGCTTGATAGAAATGAGCGGAACCCCAAGATATCTAATAGGAAGAAAACCTTCAAAAAAATTCATGATACCCATAATCTCATCCCTTAACTTTCTTTCACTCCCGGAGAAAAAAATGTGACTTTTATTAGGGCTAGGAGATAGCCCAAACATAGCTTGAAACTCGTCAAGGCCATTCTTAATAGCTTGGACAGTGAAGGTATCCCCTTTATAGAAAATCATAAGATCATCTGCAAAACAAAGGTTTACAATCGTAGTTTTCTTACACCTCCGATGAAATTTGAAATTAGGGAGGGAAGCCTTCTCATTTAAAACTCTAGAAAAAATATCCATGGCTAAAACAAAAAAGTAAGGGGACATCAGGTCCCCTTATCTAAGCTCCCTAGCCCCTTTAAAGTACCCCTGCAAGCTACCATTAATACAAATGAAAAAAGATGGACTGGTCATACAAGCTTGAATCCAGTGGATAAAAGATGTGGGGAACCCCATAGCTTTCAGAACATCCAATCATAAACGCCCATCTAACATTATCATAGGCTTTCATAATATCCACTTTCATGGTGCATCTAGGGGTAGAGGAACTCTTGTGGTAACCTCTTATCAACAAGACCGGGGAGGACCAACTTAAGTCTATTTTCTATGATTTTGGCAATACACTTATAGATGGTATTACAACAAGATATAGGCCTATAGTCCCCCCACTTTAGAAGGGTTACGGACCGTAGGCACCAAAGCAATGATGGTGTTGTTAATTTCCTGGAGGAGCTCCCTAAAAGTGAAGAAAGATTTAATAGCAGCCACCACATCCTAACTAACCACATCCCAGGCTTTCCTAAAGAAGCTAGCAGGATAGCCATCAGGGCCAAGAGCCTTATTTGCCTTAAGGGACCAAAAAGTTTCCTTTATCTCCTGGTTAGTAACCTCCCTAGCTAACATCTCTGACTGGGGAAGAGAAATGGTCCTATTCACCAGAGCCTACACCCTCTCCAACCCATGATAACCATCACTAAAAGGTGTGCCAGACAGATCTAAAAAATTATTCACAAGAGCAGTATTCACATCCTCAGCCTTAGTCAACTTATCCCCAGAACTAAGAGTCACACTATTGATTCTATTTCTATTGACATTGCCCTTAACAGACCTAAAAAAGAATCTAGTGTGTCTATCCCCTAGCCCAAGCCATTGGATTCTTGATTTCTGATGCACCAAAGCCTTCTCAACTCTACACAAATCCACATATTTGCTAAAAGCATCCCTCTTCAGATTTTGCAGGACAATATTCAAAGATCTCCATATATTACACATCATTGAAATTGAAATTAAGTGGTTATAAATTATTTCATGATTTATAAATAGTCACGTCCTCATTATGAGTTGTGATATATCTTTTAATTAGAGTTCAAAGCATTAATTTGTTAAAGTGCCTCTTTCACATAATGAAATGGAATGTCTTTTCTGTGTAATGGAGATAATTCAAATCTTAAATGGATGTTTTAATTTTTGAATTGAAAAGGAGCATAAGAACACTATTGTACCAAAATTTTGTATAAAAATTTGGTAAATTACACTTACTTTCCTTTAAATTTGAAGAAAATTTATTGAGTCCTGCAAGTTTAACAAATTTCACATATTGAGAAAATTCATTAAGTTCTACAAATTAGACATAATTATATTAACCTTTTTAAGATTTTAATTCATATAATACTTAATCTATTTTCATCGATAATTATATGAATAAAAAATTATATTATTGTCTCTTTTATGCTAAAATGTGTATATTACTCTTATTTATTACTATGTTTACATACTATTTATATTAATTTTGATCGTTTCAATCTAACTAAAAATAAATTTAGTATAATTATATCAAACTTATATGACTTATTTTATTTCCTCTAAACTTCATTGGTGACAAGTGTAACTTACCCATAAAAGTCCTCAGTGAATAGGATTGCCCATTGCATAACGGTACTTATTAATATCTCAAGTATAAAAAATATATATACATAAAAATAAATAAATATGTAAACTAAGACAGTGTTTAGGGCATTCTAAATAAATATATTTTTTAATTTTTATAAAAAAAATATAAAAATAAATAAGTAATGTGATTTAACAAAAAGATAAAAAAAAAGATAAAAAAATACACTTCTATAAGAATGCAAAGTAGTACCTAAAGCCAAAAATAATATAAAGAATAAATTACAAATACATCCTTGAGATTTGATTAAAATACAAATCGTCACTTATAGTTTTGAAAATTACATTCTACCCTCTGAGATTTCTAATTTCATAACAAATCGCTCATTTTATTAATAAATCATCAAGTTAATTAACGGTTTTTAATAATATTAAAAATATGTTTCGATTAATAATTTAGATAATTTTATTATTGTATAAGAGAGAAATTATGAATTTCATTTTTTTAATTAGTTTTGTTAAATAAAATATTCTAATAAGGGGATATTCGTAATTTTTCAAACTATAAGAGACAATCTATATTTTAAGCAAATCTCAAGGGTGTATTTGTAATTTACCCTAATATAAAGAGTACTGCTATTAGCACTTGTCAAAATTCTTTGGACCCCCCAATTTATAATTTTTTTATTACAATTATACCCTAAAGTAAAATTATATTAAAAGACATTATTAAATGGAACACCCACCTATCAAATAAGAACTAATACTTTATAATATTGGACACCCACCCCTACCCCCGCCTTCACATCCAACTCCAACTACACGTATTCCATGTTTGTAAACACTAAACCTATTACTCTTCATAGCCAATCAACATAAACCCTAAATTTATTATTTTTCATAATCATCTTAAATCCTGAATGTGTTATCTTCATTACCATCATCAATCTTATTGTACCAGAAAGTTTTGCTTTAAGTATAACATATACTTCATCACTTATTTGACCGTATAGAGCAATGGAGGACAATGATAACAATTCTAATGATACTGGCGTTCTATTGGTAAGTTTATCTGTTTTGAATTAGCATTGATCTCGGTCATTTTCAATCATTTTTCTTTTGTTCGAGCTGTTCAGTACTGGTTTGCCGACTGTTAGGATTATGTTCAGTAATATAGTACTGAACATGATCCCTTCGTTCAATACACATGTTCCAAACATTAATGCAGATAGTTAGTGCTGTTGAACCGAATATAATCTTTGTTTTCAGCACTATTGAACTGAACAAAAGTCAACAGCTTTGTTGTATGTGGCTCCACCACCAGCTACGTTGTGTGTGGCTCCACCACCAGTAATCGATTGTAAGAAACAGAGGATACGAAAAAAAAAAAAAAAAAAAAACAAAAAAGAAACACTTTGTAAGAATTTTTTTAAAAAAAAAAAAAAGAAAAAAGAAAAAAAGACAACAACAATGAAACAGCAACACTCTATAAGAAATGGGTAGATTGGGTCGGTGTAGAGAAGAAGAAACCAAGGAGACGAATGGTCAAGTGACGGGGAAGAAAAGGGTATGAAAAATTGCACGGACGATCAAGTGACGGGGAAGGAAAGGGTATAAAAAATTCAGTGAGTGTGTATTTGATTATAAAAATATTATACATATAAATAGATTTGATAATATATGAGTTGTCAAAAAAATATTATTAAAATTTAAAATTTAAGGTAGAGGTGTAAAGAAATGGAAGGTCTGACAAATTTTGACAGTGCAGCAAGATAGTGAACCAAAGAACTTTTTGCAAATAACAAAGGCGTGCAATTTTGAATGGCTGGACATCCAGCACTGCTGGAGAGGAGTTAGATCCCGCTGGCCTCACCCTCGTCTGTCAGCTCTCGCTTCTCGCTGGCCTCCCCTCTCAGTCCGAAGCTCATCATATACTCATCTGAAGCTCAACACTCAGACGAATGAGTGACCCACTCGCTTCCCTCACGAATCAGTAAACTCTCTGGTAATCGTTTTTCCTATTTTTTCTTCCATTTTTTTTTGGGGTCTCTTATTCTTTCCTTTTTGCTCACTCTCAGTCAAATTATACACAGATTTTTTTTTTTTAATCTTTGGCAACTGTTTCGAGTGGGGGAATAGGGGTGTTCTGGCTTGGGAGTGGCCTGGGGGTGAATGAAAGGTGTTTGAAAAAATGCATGAATGAGAGAGGTGGGGGTGTGGTAGCTTGGGAGTGGCCTGGGGGTGAATGAAAAGCAAGTTTTATGAACGATTAATGTGCAATGGGTTGACAAGTAATTACTATGCTTTCAAAGCTTCAACAAAGTATTTAACTGCTTTGTTACCCACTTTCATTCTGTTACATATTTTTTCTCATTCTGTAACACTGGAAATCAGTCTCTTAAAGCACTAGCAAATACCCACTTTATTGGCTATTAACCGGAGGGATGCGTGTTTTCCGACTTTTACCATGGACCTCAAGTGAACTTAATTATCAAACCACAACTACACCCCCTAACCAGATTTACCTAAGTATTTACTCTATTTCTCAACATTTTTCAAAGGTTCTCAATAAACCAAACACAATGCATTTCTCAAATGCAATAAGAATTTAAAATCGTGAAGTCATGGATATGTCAATGATATGCATGGTTCCAAATGTTTCAATTTTCCCAATTTCCACATCAATACTACAGCAAGTCTATGCAATCCTCCACCAATTACCAAAGCAATTATCTCTATTACAATATTCCAAATAGGCAATATATAGAGCATAATTCAACAATTCCCAAATCTTTCTCAATAACACATGATTTCCAAAAATCCTTTTATTCTTTAACATATCCAGTTATTCATAAATTTCAACAAATTCCATGACTTTCTCAATATACAATCATACTTTCGCATTTCGCCAATTTGGGGATTTCTCATTCACAATGTGATTTTCTCAAATTCATACACCACACCTCAACTATGGGTAAAACGTTTGAAAAGTTTATAACATTTGAGAATTTCCCCCAATTTATGCGCTAACATCAATATTAACCAAACCCTAGTTTCTCAAAACAATTTCAACTAGCAAAATAGCACATAATCTTGCTAAAATAAATGTACTAAGTTTAATTTAAGAAAATCCCTACCTCAAGAATTGAGAGAGAAAAGGAAGAAAGCACCAAATTTTGAGTTCACCGGAATTTCGATCGCTCCAGTCAAAACAATGCTCTTGACACGCTCTTCACTTTGGTCCAAGTCAAATTTGTCATGACCCCATCCTGCCCCAAACAAGATAGTGTAGTGATTGACCAGTAGTTGTGGACTACCAAAGGCCTAACTTTCAAAACAAGTTGGACTTCTATGATTATTGGGGCAAATTTTTCTGTTATTGAATGCGGAAGCCATTATTTTCTTATATTGAGTCCATTTAAAACATCCATTTAGAGTAGTGCATAATTACATGAAATGAAAGCATACATCATTCTTCTTGGATTGTTATCTTGCATTATTACATGATCTAAACAATAAAGTAAAATACAACACTTATGACAAAGCTTTACAAATCCAACACAAGCATACAAGACCGACTTCTAATTAAAATTCTCTTCGTACTTGGACTCTTCATCGCCTATATATATATATAAGGGAGTGGGGTGAGCCATTGCCTAGTGAATAGTAATATAGTAAAGTAGTAAATGAATAAATATTGATGAGCTTTAATAAAGGCAAGCACAAGATCATAGTTCAAACATAACATAATTTGTACATGATAAGCAAAGCTTAACTTGCAAGCATATACGTAGCGATGAACATTCCAAGGGCTTCGTGAACATCAAGAGTCCACAACATGTGGCAAGAGGAGCTCAGTTAGCTTGAGGTTATTGGCGTGATTTCCCAATAACAAAACAAGATCCAAGATGTCATCTTAATATATGATACAAGAATATAGGATGTTCATTTATGACAAAACAATAACTTAACTTTCATAAACATAGCATAGGTTTGTATTTTGAATCATAGTTTTAACAAACATAACTTTACTATACTACTCACAAATGGCTCTTTAAATGAGGGGGCTTTCTTCTCCTTCTCCGAAGCTTAACCTACATAAACAAGAACAAGACATTGAAGTACCTAGCTTACATGTATAAACATAACAAACCGAATGCCTAAACTTGAGTTACACCATGTAAAGGAAAATCCGTCAACTCCATGTCTGCAATGAAATAAAAAAATTCCAACATTGACCTCATCATTTGAACACATCTTAGCCTCTCTGCTAGGAAACTAATCACGTTGAATTCCTCCCTATGCACAAGGGAAATTTCATTGAGCCTTTACTATTATCGTTTCTCAGCATCTCCTTGAGTCCCACGAATGATTGAGCACACTCACTGGAAATCATCCACAACCGTTTTGAGTGAACGAGGAAATCAAGAAATTGAAAAAGTTCCAATTTTCATATCCAATCTAGATGGCGCTCCCACATCACCAAAATTGCCCCCATTGCAACAATAGCTTCGAAAGCATCCCACTCCACCCATCTGGCACTCCATGAATCCCTAACAGTGCCCAATCAACTACCTCCAACTTCGTTTTCTAGAAACACAACTTTCCACCTGCAAATAGAGGCATTAATAACCTTTTTGTCTGGGTCATTAAGATCCCTTACATTTCGTGATCCGTTACATTTCTGAGATTATTTTAAGTTGCATGATAACATAATTCTTTTTTCTCTTCCCCCAAACCCTTAGCTCCCCCCTTTATCACAACTGATCGAACATTGTTAAAATCCACCTACTCTCCACCTACTTCACCCACTTAAACCTACTCCACTAAACCTAACCCACTACACCACTACCACCTCACATTCTCCACTAAACCTAACCCACTACACCACTACCACCTCCACTTCACCTACTCCTTACCTACTACACACTCACCCTCTTCTATATATAGGAATCATGAATCATTGTAAAATATAGAACATACATCAATCAATAATACAATTCTCTATTTCTCTTTATACATTAAATTTTCTACAAACATTCTAGCCTTTTCAATTCCTAATCTGGTTTTTTGCTTGGAATTATTCCCTTTCTTATCCCTCATTGCAAAATTATTGCCCTTGCTCCACTTCTTTTCAATAGTCACAAAAAGTATCATTGTTTCATCCGCAAACCCTTTATAAGACAAACCAAAAATATTGCTAAAACCCATTTCCTTGTTAAGATCCAATATTTCTACCTTAACCCCCTCCTTTGATGCAGGACAAGCCATTGCCACCAGGGGACAAAACATTGGTTCAATTTCCATCTTATTCTGCTGAAGATCATCATTAAGCTCAATTTTTTGCATTGTAAAGATCAAATATAGCCTAAGTTAGCGCATTCTTAGATTGCATCTTCCCATCAGAAGCCCAAAATGAGTTTTCAGCCCATTACAAGTCTCTGAGTCTCCATCAGATCCTAACAACCAACTGGTACACCCTTCTAATAAAAGGGGTAAACAATCACTTGCATGCACCCCAAGCCATCAACAACGTCCCCCATCTATGGGACTGGGAGTATGATTTACCCGAGTCCTGACTTCAGTTCTCTGAATCACGGAGACCGCTTTATGCCCCTTTATCAACAATCCAAATTCATCAAACATAGAACCATTTTTTCTCCTTCTCTTTTCTAGAAAAGAGTCACCAACATTAGGGCTTGAAGAATAAAAGGCCAAATAGCACACCCCCAGTCTTTCCTTTCCACATTCCTTTCCCCCCAATTGAGGCCGTTTATAGTTAGGAAGATTGGAAGAAGAAGGGGCTATTCCTAGAGAGATGGTAGCGGCTTGACGAACTCTAGTGTTGTGCCTACTTAAAGATTCCACATCCAAGAGAGGTCTAACCCTAACCATGGACCCTCCTTATCATGGGTTTGTTACTTACCTCTTTTAGTCTAAGAAATGTGGGATGACCCAGCTTTCTGCGTGACCTAATTGTGGGTTAGAACAACCCAACCTTTCACAGACCTGGCACACACTTCACAGACCCGCTACATGCTCCTCTCTGGTTCACCCACTTCTACCAGTTGTACTTAATTCAAAATTTGTAACGAAATAAGGCCTCTAGAGATTGCAACATGTCCCATTCTTACCAACCTCTCCTCTCTAACCCCACATGTGCTACCCTATGCATGGCACATGCCTCCTACTTTCTCACAACCAGTGGCCTACCACAACCAAACTCTCCACTACTAATTGAATGAACCACAAAGACATCTGGAGCCTCCGTTCTTCCCATCCAATAGCAATCTTTGTCGGAATTAGACCACAATCACTTCTCACCTTTAGTTTAACCCACTTAAACTGCAGCCACCCTTCTGTATCATCACCAATACCTAGATAACTACCACAATGCTTACCAATTACTCTGAAGACCTTATTATCCCACAAATGAACTGGCAAAACCATTACCTCAATCCACACTTTAGGATCATTACGAGACCTGTAACAAGTCCCCTTCGATGACACCAATTGAGCAAAATGGTTTATCAGCAACCAACCACCTCTTGGACAGAGCCCTTTGTGCCGCCTTTGGATGGGAAAACAAATAAATAAAATGCTTCCCCGCTCAGGTCAAATCCTAACCTCCATAAGAATTTCCCACAAACAGTTTTCCCAATCTTGAGCCACCTAGCTTTAGCCACCTCACCCTACACACTCCCAATACAACCAACCAAACAACCACTCTAGAAACTGATCACCTTGTTACAAGAGTTATGCTGAACATCCAAATCAAAAGTGCTAGATTTGCTCTAGGGAAGAAGAGTAAGGGAGGTTTGAGGCCACATCGGGGAAAAATGCTAGAGATCTCAAAAGTTCTACCAAAATTTCTACCAAGTGTCCCATGTGGGTCCCACACTCATGTGAGACACTTGGTAGAAATTTTGGTAGAACTTTGGGATCTCTAGTATTACTCTAAATCGGGATCTCCACTGCTTGTACATACGACTTTGTCTGAGTTGCTTGTCTCCAACCATCACCAGGGTTAAATCTCTTCACAACCTCAGTGAAACTACTCCACCCATCACCAAAGTTTGATTCTGGGATGCAAATATGAGCTCTCAAACTCCCCTTAGATACCTCCACTTGGACAATGTATCCTTGTTGAAAAGGATCTGACATTGGAGGACTCGGCTACCATCGCTATAGCTTCTTATGAAGCCTCTCTTGGTTCACCGTTGGGACTACTCTGACAACTTGGCTCCCAACTAGGATATCTTGAAGCCAATGATCAAAATGGAGTGACAGAGGCCCCTTCCCCTTTCAACCACTGACACTTGAGTCCTCTAGGGATTCCCCTTGCCCTTGTTGCTAAATTTGAACAACTTCATTCCTTTAATAATTTTGCTTCTTGCCGTCCTTCACACTTGTAAGATGTTTTTTCTCGGCAGCTTCCCCACAAATTTTCTGCTTGAATTAATCAGTAGTGGAAAGCTACTGTAGAAAATTTGTTTAGTTGTAGTTGGAACTAAATTAATAGGTAGGGTCAATGGCAATGCTGTGATAGTACTGTAGGGTTTGGTGAATAACTTCATTCAGTTTATATATTTTTTCTAATAAGGCTTTATTGTTTTTTACCTCCAAGTGAAGGCATTTATTTATTATTTTTATTGATAATATTTGAACCTGTTTTGTATTTTCCAATGTGATCGCACTTTACCGCCACATCTAGCCAACTGTGGTTCTCCTAGCGAAGTTAAGTCAATGTGAATTTATGAGGTTTCATGCCTAAGTTTTGGGTTAGACTTTTGCTATTTCAGAAGTGGAGTTCCGCGTGACTTGTTGGTTATATATTATCCTTTAATAATAGCAGCAGTCTATGAGATCTCTGTGGGAGATCTCATTGACTTGATGTTGTCCAACCGTCAATTAATGTGATAGCATAGTGGTTTTAATTTTGCATTTCTAAAAAAGGGCAACCCAGCGCATGAGGCTCCCTCTAAATGTTAGAAAGAGGGTTGCGTTTAGGTGGACTAATAGGGATTGTAAGATTACTTAGCAATGTTACTGAAGAATTTACCTAAATGGATATGGATGAAATTGGTGTTGAGTCCAATTTATTTCTTGGAAAATGGTCTCCCAAAAGTGAAAAAGAGGGAAATGATCTGTGTGTTGTGCTGTAAAACACCATTTCTTGAGGGTGTTTTTTAATTATTTACAGCCTAAACTTCTCCCACGTGAGCTAATCATAAATTAATTTTCCCAAATGCTAATGAGGCACTTCCATTGATGTATGATATTTGGAGCATGTCATAATTTAAATGTTAGAATGCATTTAATCTTTAAGTACACCAATAACTGCAATTAGTGATTTGAAAATTGATATGATTGTAGTTTTATGACAGCAACAAGACGTAGGTTAGTTACAGTCAATGTTATTTTAATTTTTCCTTTTAAGTGGAGCTATTGTTTTCTGCTACCATAAACTTCTCACACTTGTAAAGCTGTGTTATCTGGTTCCAGAAACTACTAACTGGTGAAGCTCCTTTCCAAACTCGAAGTCATGGATGCTGGCCAGTGGGTACTATTTTCTGTTTTTAACTTCATTAAAGTATTTTCATATACTGAAGAGAATCTCAAGATAGCCCTTTATGCTTGAATGTTGATCAACCATCCATCACCTGACATTTTCCGTAGTTTGTAGACACGAAATTGATCAACCACGTATGTTATACATTTTATTTCTGTCTACATGGTCACAAGTCTTTCTCATTTGTGATGTACTTTCATTTAATGGATAGGTACATAAAAGAGCAGGCTACCATTTAGGGAGATGATGATGTCTACCGGACTTATTTTGTTTGCTTCTTATACTCCTAAAATTTCCGTTACCATAAAGAGTCATCGTAGATTATCATCAAATATATTTTACGGAAATTTCACTAAAGCAAGAAAATTATTTGCTTACAATCAGAAGCAACAACTGAATAGAAAACATGTGACGGTTGCTGCACGATATCTTCCTCCTTTGTTCAGGTGAGTAATTTTTTTATTTTAATTGAGCCTGTTTTTTAGCTGGAATTGGACCTTAATTTATTGCGTGTACTTGATCTTCAGTGTTGCTCCAATGATGGATTGGACAGATAATCATTATAGGACACTTGCCCGGCTCATTTCCAAACATGCTTGGCTCTATACAGAAATGCTGACTGCAAAAACAATTGTTAATCAGAAAGGAAGTTTGGTAAGATTTTGCAAAAATTAAAATTTATTTTACTGTAACTTCCATAAAATCCCATAAATATTGAATTACCTTGCTACCAATGAGCGGGCTTGAATTTTATAAACAATTCTCAACTGTATCTATCATGGCACACTGGGGGAGCCACATAAACCTAGAGGGTGCAGTTGCCCCTTCTCAAATTTTAAAAATTCTACTATTACCTATTGTTGACAAAGAGAAAGCAAGTTGCCTGCAAGGATCAAATAAACTGCAAATAAGTCCTTCGCACAAGCAAGCACATCGTCACATTTCCAGAAAATATGCCACCTCGTACTTGCTTGCACCTCATGTTAGCCACCTCATGCTTCGATGCCACCCTTTGCTAGCCATCTTGTGTTTGCTTGCCATATCTTACCTCGCATCACGACACATGTCTGATGCTCGAAACTGGTTTGCAGATATTGCAACACTTCATTCCTTTCTTGAAACTATCTTTTGTAAGAACCTCAAGAATATTCCTAGTAGGAAAAGATCTTAAGAACTGACGAGGATGGCAGTATGTCAAAACCATGATTGTTTCTCTACAGTGCCTTTTATGGTGCTTTGTCATTGCACCATCTCATGGCAAGGCCAACTGATCGTGTAGAAAACTAGTAACCCATAACTATGCAAAGTAAAGAATCTAGTGGAATGAGTACGGGTGTCATACCGAAGGGATGGTATTGACTAAAGTGCTTAAAATTGAAAATTGTTTTTACTTGATCAAAGAAAGTTGATGTGTGAACTTAATAAAAATGAAAAATAAATATAAAAGAATGATGGAGCTTGGTTGAGAAGAATTCCTTAGGGTGTTCAAATCCACCACTACTTGCGTAACACGAGGCAATTGTAACTGTTCTTGGGAGATTAATTAATGGATAATATGATATATTATGGCTATAAGTCCTAATATGATCATCTAGAAAATTTATATACCCAAACTCTAGGCATAGACCATCTTCGGTTGGCACAAACCTTCTTACACTAAAACTATTGCCGTAGGAACGGTCCGTCTTCCCTTAGCATGGTCTATCTTAGGATATACCAATATATGTACAAATAAAACTATTGCATAACCATGCATTTGAAATCACAGAAATCAAACACAAGAAGTGACATAAAAAATACATGTAGAAAAACCTTTAAATGCTGTGCAATTATTATCCAAAAATAATACAACCTAAGAATTAATTACAAAAGCTCAAATGTTTCTTGAGCAGGGCTTGATTTAAACCCTAAGGATGAGAAGATTAGCTACATACACATGATTGTAGACATTGCCATAATTCTCTGGGAAGAGAGCTTGGAAGAAAACTTTCGCTACCCAACCTCTATATTTGTAGAGCAAATACATATACAAAGTCTTTCTTCCCCAATATTTATGGATTTGCTCATAAATACAACCACCCATGGTTGAATATGGAAGATTTGGGAAGTCAAATTTGGTGGTTAGTTGTTGAACACGTTTTGTTCATATCTCTCTCCATGCTATGAATTTCAACATGAGGCTAGTTCCATATGAAACTAGACTTCTAGAGCTTCAATTTAGACACAAGATTTGCATGGTTTGGATTTGAAATAAAGTTGGTGTATGCAATCTGTCCTGTGTGCTGAATTTCATATTCTTTTCCCTGAATGTGTCTTCATTTTTGACCTCCAATATGGTTGAATTGAGAAACTATTGCGCGATAATGATTTATAGTCCTTTGAGTTAGCTTTCTAATGCTGTTTGATTCATCTCAATTCGATGTTGTATGAAGGAGATATGCCCAAAATACCAACTGCTGTGCAGATAACTTCCAACTCGAAAATTCGAGATCTTATTCTTAAATTTGATGGATAATCATAATCCTTTCTTCCAAAAATCTATGTAAGCTTTGCAAAATTCATCCTACTCATGTCATTTGAGTGTAAAGACTTGGAAAATCTGCAAATGCATTAAACAACACAAAAACATCAAATAACACAGGATTATGGACTCATGGAATGTATTTTCGAAAGCCTAAATATTTAATATTTCAGCACTTGTCACATCACATACTTTACATTTGTGTTTAGGATTCTGCATTGCATGGAAGTATTGGTAATTAAATGCACTGTAAGCTTGAAGGGGAGTTTTAAGTTCACGAACAGCTTGGGCTCTACCTATCTAATGCAGTTGTTGAGCTTGTGTAAATAATTGATAATTGGAGTTCAAGCTTTGATTTTTTGCCTCTTGTTAAAAGCCCAAGCCTGAGCAGGTCTGAGCTCTCGGTTCAGCCCGGTTTGTGAACACGATGCCATGGCAAGTCTGATTCTAAGTTATGTTTAAGAGGTATATAATCCAATCGTGTAAATAATTACATGTCAAGCTTGAATAGTGGTCTACTGGTTCCATTTGAGTTTCACTTCCATTCTAAACTTTACTTATCGAAAAAAACGAAAAAGAAAACACACTTTCACTCAAACTTTGCCTAACCGAGCTCGAACATGCTAATATCTAGCTTTGCTCAGTATGGTTCTATTGAATAGCTTGATATATGTTGTTGGGCCCGTTTCTTAACAACTGAAGCTTTTGGAACACTTGGTAACATAGTAGTTCATGGCCATATTTTTATAACGCTATAAAGGATACTGTTTGACACCTTCTTCTAGGGTGTTATCTTTTGCCCCCTCGCCCCAAGGTAAATATTAGATGTACCTTACTTAGATGTATCTAAAAAGTAAAAAATTTGTGAAAAAATATTTTAAAAAATTAACAAATACATAAAAATACAAAAAATGTACTGAATTCTTGTATTTTTTTTGTATTTTTGGTATTTAGTGAATTTTTAAAAGATGTTTTTTACATTTTTTTTTACTTTTTAGGTGTATTTATGTTAGGTGTGTCTAAAAAGTACAAAATTGCTTAAAATATTAAAAAAATTCAGTAAAAACAAAAAAACACGGAAAATAAGAAAGTAGAATTTTCTGAAAAGTGTTTTTTGAAAAGTGGAAACAAGCAAGGTGTGATGAAACTCCATTTCATTTTAATTCAATTCTCTTTATGCGTCTCTAACTTATTGTATGATTAACGGAGTCCAAATGGTGCCTAAGAATGCTTGGAGTGGCATGAGGATGCAAATATGCACTTAAAAGAGTTGGTAAAATTTTGCTAAAAACAGGGTCTCCGCTCGAGCGCAACTTCCTACGCTCGAGCGCGCTCGAGCGGGGTTTCGAAAACAAAGGTGGTCGCTTGAGCGTAACTTCTGTCGCTCGAGCGGGGTTTGCAAAAGTACTAGATACATGAAATTCTCGCTCGATGGTCGCTCGAGCAGAAGACTAAGAAAAAGGGTCCTCGCTCGAGCGTCACTTTGGTCGCTCGAGCGGACTGTAAAATTTCAGAAACTTCTGGGAGCCCGATTTTCACGCTAGAGCGTGGACTCCCTTGCTCGAGCGAACATCACGAATTCTGGAATTTCCAAAACTGTGTTTGAAGTTCAAACATGGTACTCAAAGCCTCAAATCTTGCGTTTTTGGTATAAAAACATGGAGAGTCACTATATAATATGAAAACACTTCTAATTTGAACCCATTTATTCAAAATCATGGTAATTTCCCAACCAATGACTCCAACCTCAATTTATAAAATAAGTTTAACTCAATTTGAGTGTATATTTCTCCAAAACATGTTCAAAATATGATCAAGTAACATGAGAAGCATGAAAACATGAAGGATTCTCCAAAATGAGGTATAATTGTGCCATGCATGTATGAATTTCATGGAGCTTAACTCAAAATATGCATGCATGTAAGCAATTCAACTCCATTCTTCCATTTTTATGATATTCATAGCTTCTCTTCCTCAATAACATGTCAATGAGTTCAAAAATGAGAGGAATTCAACTACTATATGCCATAACTACATGAATTAGTGATGAATGCCATACCTAGTGTTGAATTCAAGTGTATTGGGGCTCCAATCTTTGAATCTCCCTCTAATTCTCTACAATTCTTCTCTTTCTCTCTCTAAATGTTGAACTCTCCTCTCCTCTCTCAATTCTCAGCTGAGTGTGTATATAAAATGGGCCCATAAGCTTAATTTGGGTCTTATATAGGAGGTGATTAAGTTAGCCTAATCAAATATGGTTAGAATTAATTACCTAGGCTTAATTCTAACTAATTCAATCAGTTTATTCGAATTATTTTGGTTCAAATCAAATTTCAATTAAAGTTGCCATAAAATTCTAAATATTCTAATTAGCCTATTGGGCTAGTCAATTTCAGTTCCTGAAGCCGTTTAGGCTCCCAATTTCCGACTCTAAGTTGTCGATTTAAACAGATATTCCATATATTAACAGATAATTATAGAATTAACATGTAATCACACAATCAAGCACATAATCATGCAACTAAACTCATTTGAATTATATAATGTACTAGTTTGGAGGTCAGGGTCGCCACATGAATTGAGAAAATAGTGTGAGATAATGATTTGTGGCCCTTTGAGTTAGCTTTCCAATGCTGTTTGAATCATCTCATTCTGATATCATATGAAGGAGATGTGCTCAAAATACCAACTGCTGTGCAGAGAACTTCCAACGCAAAAATTGAAGATTTTATTCTTAAATTTGATTGGATAATCCTTTCTTCAAAAAATCCATGTTAGCTTTGCAAAATTCATCCTACTCATGTCATTTGAGTGTAAAGACTTGGAAAGTCTACAAATGTATAAAACAACACAAAAGTATCAAAATAACACAAGATTATGAACTCATGAAGTGTATTTTGGAGGGCCTAAATGTGTAACATTTTGGCACTTATCACACACTCCAACTCACACTTTGCTGGTCCTCGAGGAAAGCAAACTAAAAAGAAAAGAAAATGAAATCTTTCTATGCCATTTAGCGTATGCAACTAGCCTTTAAAACACTAGGTTACCCCTAGTGGATGAGTTGTAGTCTTATGTAGGTTTACGGCACCAAAATTTGATGGGTCGTTTTCACACTGAAATTATTTAGAGG